ACTCACACACTCAAACATTTGGAATACCTCGCCAAAAGTCAGGTAAACTGTTTGCCTCTCTACCGTCGTTGTAACATTTCATTCACCTTGGGAACTATATAAGGTCCAAGGTGAATGAAATGTTACATTCACGGAAGTGTGGTATACTGTTTATGTATATATATGTATATGTATGTGTGTGTAAATCACGAAAATTAACACGTGAAGAAAAATGTGACAGTGTCAGACCACGAAGGAAGAATTGAAACAGGAATTTCCTTAAGTACTTTCGTATTTAATAATACATCTTCAGAACGGTCAATTCTGTTTCAATTCTTCCTTCGTGGTCTTCCTATAACGAGTCCTTATAGGACTCGTTAGATGTGGCAGACGACAACACTTTGGTATATCTCATTGTCATCTCAGATATAGACAAAAATACTAGTCACAGCTTCGTGTCATCCGTTGCTGCTGATGAAAAAGAATCAGCATGAAAATTTCCTCTGTAGAAGTCACTGAAAATCTGCAAGCAGATATTAATGAAGTTTTCGTCTGGGCAGCGGAAAATAACATGATGTTTAACGGTGACAAGTTCCAGGTACTGAGGTATGGTGATCATCACCTTCAGCGGTACACAGGGTACAGGACACAGTCAGATCCACTCATAGAAGGAGGGAGGGAATTATCAAGACGAAGCACCAATCCATAATAGCACTGGGAAGGATAAGGATTTGGGATGGGACGGGGGAGGAATGGTGCCCAACCACTTACACGGTCGGGGATTGAACACCGACCTGCATTAAGAAAGACCGTCGCTCTACCGTCCAACCCAAGTGGTTGGTACTCATAGAAGGAAAACAACATGTCAAAGATCTGGGAATTATGATGTCTGACGACCTGATATTTAGTGAACATAACCGAGCAAATATAGCGGCGGCGGTCAGGACAATGATTGGATGGATTATGAGAACGTTCACATCCAGAGTCCCACAGTAATGCTAATACTATTGAAATCACTGATGCTGTCCCGTCTTGAGTATTGCTCGGTACTCACTCCCCCCTTCAGTGCGGGAGAGATCTCTGATCTACAGGGAATACAGAGAACATATACAGCACGCATAGACACGATATAACACCTAAATTATTCAGACCGTCTCAAAGCTTTCTAAATGTACTCTCTGGATAGGAGACGAGAAAGGTATCAAATAATGTACACATGGAAGATACTGGAGGGCCAGGTCCCAAATTTGCGAAGTAAAATAACAACATACTGGAACGGAAGATATGGAAGAAAATGCAGAATAGAACCAGTGAAGAGCAGAGGTGCCATAGGCACAATCAGAGAACACTGTATGAACATCAGAGGTCCGCGGTTGTTCAACATCCTCCCAACGAACATTAGAAATATTGCCGGAACAAAGGTGGATGTATTCAAAAAGCAGTTAGACAAGTTCTTGCAAGATGTGCCGGACCAACCAGGCTGTGGTGGGTATGTGGGCCTGCGGGCCGCTCCAAGCAACAGCCTGGTGGACCAAGTTATCATCAGTCGAACCTGGCCTCCCTAGGCCTGACTCGGGGAGTAGAAGAACTCTCGGAACCCTCTACAGGTATGATCCAGGCAATACAGACATTAACCCTCACATACAGCGCTTAGTGATGTATTCTGATAATTCACGTCAGATATACAGGCCAGTGTATATCCCTCACCCCCCCCCCCCTTCCTTGTAGGTCAGCGTTCGATCCCGGACGGTGGAAGTGGTTGGGCACTGCCGCCCCTCTGTCCTGTGTGTGTGCTTGGAGGATATCTTGTCTAGTGGGTTTGTTTTGTGCGTTATCCAGCCGGATAACGGTACCTTTCTTATCCAGCCTTGTGAGCCTCTCCTTCCAGCCTTGTTCTTATTGTTGGTGGTGGTGGTGCTACCCTCACTTTCCTCCCCTCACTTTCCTCCCCTCACTTTCCTCCCCTCACTTTCCTCCCCTCACTTTCCTCCCCTCACTTTCCTCAATCACTTTCCTCCCTCACTTTCCTCCCTCACTTTCCTCCCTCACTTTCCTCCCCTCACTTTCCTCCCCTCACTTTCCTCCCTCACTTTCCTCCCTCACTTTCCTCTCTCACTTTCCTCCCCTCACTTTCCTCCCTCACTTTCCTCCCCTCACTTTCCTCCCTCACTTTCCTCTCTCACTTTCCTTCCCTCACTTTCCTCCCTCACTTTCCTCCCTCACTTTCCTCCCCTCACTTTCCTCCCTCACTTTCCTCCATCACTTTCCTCCCCTCACTTTCCTCCCTCACTTTCCTCCCTCACTTTCCTCCCTCACCTTCCTCCCTCACTTTCCTCCCTCACCTTCCTCCCTCACCTTCCTCACTTTCCTCCCTCACTTTCCTCCCTCACTTTCCTCCCTCACTTTCCTCCCTCACCTTCCTCCCTCACTTTCCTCCCTCACCTTCCTCCCTCACTTTCCTCCCTCACCTTCCTCCCTCACTTTCCTCCCTCACCTTCCTCCGTCACCTTCCTCCCTCACTTTCCTCCCTCACTTTCCTCCCTCACCTTCCTCCCTCACCTTCCTCCCTCACTTTCCTCCCTCACTTTCCTCCCTCACTTTCCTCCCTCACTTTCCTCCCCTCACTTTCCTCCCTCACCTTCCTCCCTCACTTTCCTCCCCTCACTTTCCTCCCCTCACTTTCCTCCCTCACCTTCCTCCCTCACTTTCCTCCCTCACCTTCCTCCCTCACTTTCCTCCCCTCACTTTCCTCCCTCACTTTCCTCCCTCACTTTCCTCCCTCACTTTCCTCCCCTCACCTTCCTCCCTCACCTTCCTCCCTCACTTTCCTCCCTCACCTTCCTCCCTCACCTTCCTCCCTCACTTTCCTCCCTCACCTTCCTCCCTCACCTTCCTCATTTTCCTCCCTCACTTTCCTCCCTCACTTTCCTCCCTCACTTTCCTCCCTCACCTTCCTCCCTCACTTTCCTCCCTCACCTTCCTCCCTCACCTTCCTCCCTCACCTTCCTCCCTCACTTTCCTCCCTCACTTTCCTCCCTCACTTTCCTCCCCTCACTTTCCTCCCCTCACTTTCCTCCCTCACTTTCCTCCCTCACTTTCCTCCCTCACTTTCCTCCCTCACCTTCCTCACCTTCCTCCCTCACCTTCCTCCCTCACCTTCCTCCCTCACCTTCCTCCCTCACTTTCCTCCCTCACTTTCCTCCCTCACTTTCCTCCCGCACTTTCCTCCCCTCACTTTCCTCCCGCACCTTCCTCCCCTCACTTTCCTCCCCTCACTTTCCTGCCTCACTTTCCTCCCTCACTTTCCTCCCTCACCTTCCTCCCTCACTTTCCTGCCTCACTTTCCTCCCCTCACTTTCCTCCCCTCACTTTCCTCCCCTCACTTTCCTCCCTCACTTTCCTCCCGGCCTCATGCGTGCTGAATGTGAGAGCGTGGGCGTGTGAGAGCGTGGGCGTGCGTGTACTCACCTAGTTGTGTTTGCGGGGGTTGAGCTCTGGCTCTTTGGTCCCGCCTCTCAACCGTCAATCAACAGGTGTACAGATTCCTGAGCCTATCGGGCTCTGTCATATCTACACTTGAAACTGTGTATGGAGTCAGCCTCCACCACATCACTTCCTAATGCATTCCATTTGTCAACCACTCTGACACTAAAAAAGTTCTTTCTAATATCTCTGTGGCTCATTTGGGCACTCAGTTTCCACCCGTGTCCCCTAGTACGTGTGCCCCTTGTGTTAAATAGACTGTCTTTATCTACCCTATCAATCCCCTTCAGAATCTTGAATGTGGTGATCATGTCCCCCCTAACTCTTCTGTCTTCCAGCGAAGTGAGGTTTAATTCCCGTAGTCTCTCCTCGTAGCTCATACCTCTCAGCTCGGGTACTAGTCTGGTGGCAAACCTTTGAACCTTTTCCAGTTTAGTCTTATCCTTGACTAGATATGGACTCCATGCTGGGGCTGCATACTCCAGGATTGGCCTGACATATGTGGTATACAAAGTTCTGAATGATTCTTTACACAAGTTTCTGAATGCCGTTCGTATGTTGGCCAGCCTGGCATATGCCGCTGATGTTATCCGCTTGATATGTGCTGCAGGAGGCAGGTCTGGCGTGATATCAACCCCCAAGTCTTTTTCCTTCTCTGACTCCTGAAGAATTTCCTCTCCCAGATGATACCTTGTATCTGGCCTCCTGCTCCCTACACCTATCTTCATTACATTACATTTGGTTGGGTTAAACTCTAACAACCATTTGTTCGACCATTCCTTCAGCTTGTCTCTCACACGCTGTGTGAGAGCGTGGGCATGCGTGTGAGAGCGTGGGCGTGCGTGTGAGAGCGTGGGCGTGCGTGTGAGAGCGTGGGCATGCGTGTGAGAGCGTGGGCGTGCGTGTGAGAGCGTGGGCGTGCGTGTGAGAGCGTGGGCGTGCGTGTGAGAGCGTGGGTGTGCGTGTGAGAGCGTGGGCGTGCGTGTGAGAGCGTGGGCGTGCGTGTGAGAGCGTGGGCGTGCGTGTGAGAGCGTGGGCGTGCGTGTGAGAGCGTGGGCGTGCGTGTGAGAGCGTGGGCGTGCGAGTGAGAGCGTGGGCGTGCGAGTGAGAGCGTGGGCGTGTGAGTGAGAGCGTGGGCGTGTGAGTGAGAGCGTGGGCGTGTGAGTGAGAGCGTGGGCGTGTGAGTGAGAGCGTGGGCGTGTGAGTGAGAGCGTGGGCGTGTGAGTGAGAGCGTGGGCGTGTGAGTGAGAGCGTGGGCGTGTGAGTGAGAGCGTGGGCGTGTGAGAGAGCGTGGGCGTGTGAGAGAGCGTGGGCGCGTGAGAGAGCGTGGGCGTGTGTGAGCGTGGGCGCGTGAGAGCGTGGGCGTGCGGGCGTGACAGAGTGGGCGTGGGCAGCAGCAGCGGCGGGGGCGGCTCCGCCCTCCGTGAAGCAGGTGACCCTCAGTTCCTAGTGGAGGTTGGGGCCGGCCAGTGATGGTCCTGGGGGCGGGGCTCGAGCAAGTCAGGTCTGGCAGGTAAGAATGGCCGCTCTCAGTGTTCAACTGAGCCCCACACACGCCGCACCTCCTGGCGGGCTCTCCACCCCTGCTCTCCAACACTGCGCTCCAACACTGCGCCCCAACACTGCCCTCCAACACCACCACCACCAACAACACTACATCTTGCCCCCACCGCCCGTGAGAGCGCATTAGCAGGAGGTGGCTGACTGACCCCGGGGGAGTTCCACAGGGTATACTGAACTGCGGCAGGTCGTGCTATCGTCCGGACTCACAGCAGGATAACCACGCTGTGTTATCCTGTGTGAGAGTGGCACCGGTGTTGGCACTCGACGGAGACTCCAGTGTTGGCACTCAACAGACGTTCAAGTGTTGGCACTCAACAGGTTAACTCTAAATAACCGCGAGACGTCTCACAAAAGAGGCACTTGCGGGTATGAGAGTGATTAAGAGGTCAACTACAGGCACTCGTGGGGTGAAGTGAGGCAGCGACAGTGCCAGTCAGAAGTGAGGCAGCGACAGTGCCAGTCAGAAGTGAGGCAGCGACAGTGCCAGTCAGAAGTGAGGCAGCGACAGTGCCAGTCAGAAGTGAGGCAGCGACAGTGCCAGTCAGAAGTGAGGCAGCGACAGTGCCAGTCAGAAGTGAGGCAGCGACAGTGCCAGTCAGAAGTGAGGCAGCGACAGTGCCAGTCAGAATTGAGGCAGCGACAGTGCCAGTCAGAAGTGAGGCAGCGACAGTGCCAGTCAGAAGTGAGGCAGCGACAGTGCCAGTCAGAAGTGAGGCAGCGACAGTGCCAGTCAGAAGTGAGGCAGCGACAGTGCCAGTCAGAAGTGAGGCAGCGACAGTGCCAGTCAGAATTGAGGCAGCGACAGTGCCAGTCAGAAGTGAGGCAGCGACAGTGCCAGTCAGAAGTGAGGCAGCGACAGTGCCAGTCAGAAGTGAGTTTACCGCCTTAACACCCGTGGATAACCTGTAGTGGTGACTGTATTGACTCGACGAGGAATGTGTGAGGTATGACATCCTCACTCCCGTGATTAATGAGGATTAAGTCACGTATGAGGTGTGCACGGGCATGAGTAGCCCGGGATCAGTCTCCAGGCCAGCTTGTGAGGCCTCACTCCAATCCTCACAACCTCAGTGTTCTCGGGCATCAAAAGCGCTTGAGCAGGACACCTGCTGCTTCGAGGATCACCTCGACACGAGCGGATGCTCCTCGGAGCGCTGCGCAGACTCATTCCTTCCTCGAGTGAGACTCAAGAACCACTATGAAACTCTTGAGGAAGGTCGGTGTTGTTTACCTATCGTGAGAGGACTTCGAAGATGAACTCTTCTCTTGAACTCTGAACTGTTGTGGACAGAGGAAGCGATTCGGAACCGACTCCAGACATGGCTCATAAGGGTCACCCTCCTCTAGGCCAGTGCTGTCACCCTCCAGGCCAGTGTTGTCACCCTCCAGGCCAGTGTTGTCACCCTCCAGGCCCGTCTTGTCACCCTAACCAGCCAGATCTCCCAGCTGGACCTCGCCACCTGCGGCAAACTCGTGACTTATCTGACGGAGGCGTCACGCGCCGCGACCCTCTGTCTCGTACCTACTCGATTGATATCTGGCCCGCAGAGATATCCAGATACCTAGGTACGGATGGCTATCCATACGCCCCCGCCGTCCCTGATGGCTATCCTCATGTTCACATAGACATGGATGACAGTCCACATGTTCTCCCAGACATGGATGACAGTCCACATGCTCCCCCAGACATGGATGACAGTCCACATGTTCTCCCAGACACGGATGACAGTCCACATGCTCCCCCAGACATGGATGACAGTCCACATGCTCCCCCAGACACGGATGACAGTCCACATGTTCCCCCAGACATGGATGACAGTCCACATGCTCCCCCAGACACGGATGACAGTCCACATGCTCCCCCAGACACGGATGACAGTCCACATGCTCCCCCAGACACGGATAACAGTCCACATGCTCCCCCAGACACGGATGACAGTCCACATGCTCCCCCAGACACGGATGGCAATCCACATGCTCCCCCAGACACGGATGACAGTCCACATGCTCCCCCAGACATGGATAACAGTCCACATGCTCCCCCAGACACGGATGGCAATCCACATGCTCCCCCAGACACGGATGACAGTCCACATGCTCCCCCAGACACGGATGACAGTCCACATGCTCCCCCAGTCATGGATGACAGTCCCACAGACACAGACAGCCCCACAGAAGCCATAACACACACAGACCAGCTTACAGACATGACCACCGGCCCAGTTTGCTTCACACTGGCAGACGACATAGAGGACACCGCTCTCGACTTCGCCGACAGAAGCCTGGGTTCGAAGTCTCTTGAAGACCAGCACGTGGAATACACCGACTGTTCGGACACCTGCACGGAATTTGGCGATTCTCGGTGTCCTTCTATGGACACGCTCAACTCCCACTTTTCCACAGACACTCACAGCCAGCTGCAGTCAACCACAGACTCGATTTACATTCTCCACGTAAATGAGGACACGCGGCACAGCCGGCCACAGAGCGGTGATGACCTAGGCAATTCTGACGACGCGACAGGGGCTGCGAGAGGCCCAGTTGGGGCTGTAAGGCTGACGGAATCTGGTCATGGCCACTGTTTATCGCAGCCCGTCGCGTCAGGTGACGAGAAATACAGCGACGCGTCGCAGACAGCCACGTACATGGCCGGCTTCTACGACCATCCGTTAACGACCGCAGATGACGTGAACGAGCAACCTCGTAGTGACGGAGGAACTAGTTACCAGCACGAGCAGCAGACAGATAATTACGAGGAGGAGCAGACACCATCCCACAGCAGCACAGACGAGTCTGAAGAACACGACGATCCCCCTACGATACGGGTATCTGAGAGGAGAGTGAGCGACACTATCCACGAAGACTTGTCGCTGGGAGACACTCCACGACGTCTGAGCTTCCTGAAGCCTGCCCCTCGACGACACCTCTCCCACGACGTGACGCTAGGGCGCAGGTTCTCTCACGATGCGCTGCTCATGCGCCAGAGAACACACGAGGCGCTTCTCACCCGCCAGAGGTCTCAAGATGCTATATTGACGCTTGGTCGTCACGCCTCGCAGGATGGTGGCAGCGCTGAGACTTCTCACCCGCCGCTGAGACGTCTCTCAGATCTCCGCAGCCTCACCCTCACTCTGGGACTCCAGATCCACGGCTCCATACTCAACCTGGCGTCTGAGAAGTCCCGCAAACAGGTAATGTCTCCGAAGTGTCTTAGTTTTTGTCCCGTGTCTTCCTGGATAGTTGATACATTTACTGGCGCGGGTTAGGAGGGTTGCAGGGTGCGGCAGGTGTGATATCTCTCTCTCTCTCTCTCTCTCTCTCTCTCTCTCTCTCTCTCTCTCTCTCTCTCTCTCTCTCTCTCTCTCTCTCTCTCTCTCTCTCTCTCTCTCTCTCTCTCTCTCTCTCTCCTCTAGGAAGGGTGTGACCCCATCTCTCTCTCCTAGGAAGGGTGTGACCCCTTCTCTCTCTCTCCTAGGTAGGGTGTGACCCCCATCTCTGTCTCCTAGGTAGGGTGTGACCCCCATCTCTCTCTCCTAGGTAGGGTGTGACCCCCATCTCTCATAGGTAGGGTGTGACCCCATCTCTCCTAGGTAGGGTGTGACCCCCATCTCTCCTAGGTAGGGTGTGACCCCCATCTCTCTCTCCTAGGTAGGGTGTGACCCCATCTCTCTCCTAGGTAGGGTGTGACCCCCATCTCTCTCTCCTAGGTAGGGTGTGACCCCATCTCTCTCTCCTAGGTAGGGTGTGACCCCATCTCTCCTAGGTAGGGTGTGACCCCCATCTCTCTCTCCTAGGTAGGGTGTGACCCCATCTCTCTCCTAGGTAGGGTGTGACCCCCCATCTCTCCTAGGTAGGGTGTGACCCCCCATCTCTCCTAGGTAGGGTGTGACCCCCATCTCTCTCTCCTAGGTAGGGTGTGACCCCCATCTCTCCTAGGTAGGGTGTGACCCCCATTTCTCTCTCCTAGGTAGGGTGTGACCCCATCTCTCTCCTAGGTAGGGTGTGACCCCCATCTCTCCTAGGTAGGGTGTGACCCCATCTCTCCTAGGCAGGGTGTGACCAAGGCCACGCCACACACACACACACACACACACACACACACACACACACACACACACACACACACACACACACACCTACAGCATGCTAAGTACAGCAGGTTAATATATACAGGCCGACATATCGCCTACACGTTTTAATTCTGCTCTATATTATTTATTTCCCAATATCTCCTCTTTTTAATTTTCCTGTTGGCGTTATTAAGCCCTGTTGCAGTGGCTGCTGAGCAACGGTCATCAACCGTTGATTAAATGACGTTGTTAGCGCTTAATGGTTCTTTCAAGTAATGGGGGTCACTGTATTTTTTTTCAATGTGGAGTTGTATGAGGATGTATGTGTATCAGGATGTTGTTAGTGGTGTGGGTTGATTGGTTGTTAGTCTTGAGCTAGTTCAAGATTCCCTCCCCCCCCTAACCCCCCATTTCCCCCTTAATCAGCAAGGGCAGGGAATTCAGGGGTGGAAATCATGTTATCGTTATCTGAAGGATAACTTCTTATTGTAGCGTTGAAATTGTGCTCTGTGTGTGTGTGTGCTTTAGTCCGTACACACACACACACACACACACACACACACACACACACACACACACACACACACACACACACACTCATACACACACACACTCATACACACACACACACACACACACACACACACACACACACACACACACACACACACACACGCACACACACACACACACACGCGCACACACACACACACACACACACACACACACACACACACACACATAAACGTACACACACACACGCATAAACGTACACACACACACACACACACACACACACACACACACGCACACGCACGAACGCGCACACACATCCCCACCCCGCCTACCCACCCCAGTACACACAGCCTACCAGCGGCAGATCTCAAACACCACCATTTCCGCTACCCGTCTGGTGTCTTCCGCTGATTACAACTCTCAAGATAATGGATGTTAATGGCGCTGCTTGCCACACACCTTCACGTTCTCGTAGCTCTGATTACCGAACTATCGCAGCAATTATCTCTCTAATCGCTTCTCTATCTTATGTCCAGTATTTCTGTTGAAGATTGACTTTCTCAATCTTGACTTTGACTTCGTCAATCTTGGTCTTCTTTCTGCGTATGATTAAGAAGGTTAATGCTCATTGTGTATGATAGCGATTAGGCCAGATTCACGAAGCCGTTACGCAAGTACTTACGAACGAATCTTTCCTCAATCTTTGACGGCTTTGGTTACATTTATTAAACAGTTTACAAGCATGAAAGCTTGCCAATCAACTGTTGTTATTGTTATAAACAGCCTCCTGGTGCTTCGGAGCTCATTAACTGTTTAATAATTGTAAACAAAGCCGCCAAAGATTGAGAAAGGATGTGCAGGCTCGTAAGTGCTTGCGTAACTGCTTCGTGATCTGGCCCCCGGCGATCACATTGTTGTGTAGCTCTAAGTGTAAGGTCAAGGGGCAGGATGTCATGGTACTAGAGCTTCTATAGGGGCGCCTGACAGCTGAGTGGACAGCGCTTCGGATTCGTAGTCCTGAGGTTCCGGGTTCGATCCCCGGTGGAAGCGGAAACAAATGGGTAGAGTTTCTTTCACCTTGATGCCCCTGTTACCTAGCAGTAAATAGGTACCTGGGTGTTAGTCAGCTGTCACGGGCTGCTTCCTGGGGGAGGAGGCCTGGTCGAGGACCGGGCCGCGGGGACACTAAAGCTCCGAAATTATCTCAAGATAAACATCTCATATCAAGATAACCCCCATTCACTCATCTGCCCCCCCCCCCTCCTGATTCATCCCTCTCCTAATCATCCCTCTCCTAATCATCCCCTTTTTTTTTTTATTAATACCTGAGGTACATCTGCATTAGTGTAGCTGCCCTAGACTATATGAAGTGGAGTACAGTGTGTCAAAAAAGCTAACTAGGTGATGCTAAAAAATCCCCATCACACAGGATGGTTAGTCATACAGAGGCATGTGATTAGCGGTCTGCACTGACAGACTCTGGATGCATTTTGAGGATATCAACAACACAAGATTGAATAAGGCAGCAGTGGTAATACAAGTCCCCATCTCGCAGGATGGTTAGTCATACAGAGCCATGTGTTCAGTAGCCGGCACTGGCAAATTTTGGGTATACTGTGAGGATATCTTCAAGAATACGAGAGTGAATAAAGTAATTGCAAAGCTCCAGGTACCTCATGCCAACTGGTCTGAAAGGTCTAATAACTGGGCATTCAGTGATGTAGTGCGGGAGATCGTGCCGTAGTTCCTGCTCACTCTACGGAAAACGCATCCGCGATTTCATTTCGCACCATGAAAATTGCTCTAGAGGCTAAAGTTACAGGTTAATATTTCTTAAAGTATTTAACTTAGGCCAACCCCTCTGACCAGCCTATGTCCGTCCTCCACCACAGACCATTCACCCTGCAAAGCCGCATGACGCTACCCTCTCCCCCACACACCCAGCCACCAACCACGGACAGAGAGACATTCTTATAGTCCAAATAGTTTAAAAAAAATTACAACTGTAAACACCATAATTGAGACCTTTCATATGGCCGAAATAATAATAATAATATTTCTAATCCATCAAAATTGTCTTAATTCAGTTCAGTATTTAACCTTCGCCCTCAAGGGCTTCAACTTTCATGAGCGTGTGAGGGGGTACAAGGTCTTCCGATCGTCCGCACCGACGCTGTCTCGGGTGTTTACCGCGCAGCTGACCAAATACCCGCAGGTAAAACCAGGCCATTCTTGTGAAGGCACGCCCGTTTGGGGCCGCCCAGTGCCACCACACACCCAGTGCCACCACACGCCCAGTGTCGACAGGCGCACAGTGCCACCACACGCCCAGTGCCAACACACACCCAGTGCCACCAGGCGCCCAGTGCCACCAGGCGCCCAGTGCCACCAGGCGCCCAGTGCCACCACACACACCCAGTGCCAACACAGCCCAGTGCCACCACACGCCCAGTGTCGACAGGCGCCCAGTGCCACCACACGCCCAGTGCCAACACAAGCCCAGTGCCACCACACGCCCAGTGTCGACAGGCGCCCAGTGCCACCACACGCCCAGTGCCAACACAAGCCCAGTGCCACCACACGCCCAGTGTCGACAGGCGCCCAGTGCCACCACACGCCCAGTGCCAACACAAGCCCAGTGCCACCACACGCCCAGTGTCGACAGGCGCCCAGTGCCACCACACGCCCAGTGCCAACACAAGCCCAGTGCCACCACACGCCCAGTGCCACCAGGCGCCCAGTGCCACCAGGCGCCCAGTGCCACCACACACCCAGTGCCATCACACTCCCAGTGCCACCACACACCCAGTGCCACCACACACCCAGTGCCAACACACACCCAGTGCCACCACACCCCCAGTGCCACCACACACCCAGTGCCACCACACCCCCAGTGCCAACACACACCCAGTGCCACCACAATATCTGGAGATCCTTGGGTTCGTGATTATGTAGTTGGTGTGTCTAATGAAGTGTTATGTCAGACTGTTGTGGCCAGCAGCGAGTGTGGCGGCACAGTTCATCCTGTTGGCAGCCGTCATGGCGCGTCTCTTGACAGCATCAGTCATCTCCTGACAGGTCCCGGCACCATAATAACGACACGCCACTCACTTAAATACGGTGGAGAGTGTCTGTATCAGTCACGCGTACTGGAGTGGCTGGTGCACGCACGCACGCACGCACACGCACGCACGCACGCACACGCACGCACGCGCACGCACGCACGCACGCACGCAGACCCTAGGGGCCTCGTAGCCTGGTGGATAGCGCGCAGGACTCGTAATTCTGTGGCGCGGGTTCGATTCCCGCACGAGGCAGAAACAAATGGGCAAAGTTTCTTTCACCCTAAGTGCCCCTGTTACCTAGCAGTAAATAGGTACCTGGGAGTTAGTCAGCTGTCACGGGCTGCTTCCTGGGGTGTGTGTGTGTGTGGTGTGGGAAAAAAAAATAGTAGTTAGTAAACAGTTGATTGACAGTTGAGAGGCGGGCCGAAAGAGCAAAGCTCAACCCCCGCAAAAACACAACTAGTAAAACACACACACACACACACACACACACACACACACACACACACACACACACACACACACATTTCTCTCAGGAAT